AAACTGCTCTCGGATATAAGTGGGCTTAGACATGTCTGGGGCGTAGACCCCTAAAACAAACAACTTCTTTAAGCCCACTTTCATTCGTATCCATAGCAGTCTCGGGCTTACACATTCATACTCTTTTACACACTGACCCATTCTTTCTGAAAGGATGATACCGACTCCCTGGCATGCCCGCTCGGTCTCGTCTACACCAGACCAGTACGCGGTATACATGCCATGTGTAGTGGCATCCTTTCCCTTCCGTTTCGTCTCATTCACACATAACACGTCTATTCCTCTATCATACATCATATCGCATACTTCATCCATCTTATCATTCATTCCTCCACATACGTTCAATGTAGCCAGACGGGCTTCCGCAATCCACTTTTCGCCCCTCCGGGGGACAGAACGTGACGGGTGGCGAACCTCGTCGCCGGTTTTCCTCCCGGAGATTCTTCGCACCCCTGCCCCATTAAAGGGGCGCCGGGAACTCGGGGCCATTTCTTTAATATTTTGCCTCATGGTGCGAAAGTAAGTTGTGGTATTTTTTTTTTACGCCGCTACCACACGGCGAGGAGCCGAGTCAGTTCTTTCGGCTTTGTCGCTCGTTTAGCACCACATGTTCTTGTTAATTACGTTAATTCGTATAATAGAGAAAATGGAAAGACTCGCGTATTTTTTTTTATTTTCATAAAACAGCTACATATTCCGAGATGCAATTTATGTATAATGTAAAACACTCACGAACGGGAGAAAATTCTACGGTTAGATAACGTTTTTTCATTAAAAAGAAAAAAGAAACACATCCTTTTTTTCTTTAAACAGAACATGAAACATGTTACAAGTAAAAATATTCTAATACCTATTTAGAATATTTTTACTTATAACATGTTTGTTTAAAAAATATAGTTGCTACCTGCAACTAACGCCATCTAGTAACAATAAATGTATTTTTAGAATGGCGCGGAAAGAGCGTTTTAGCTGCAATCACCTGATATCTGTTACAACAGAATATTAATAACTTCACGGACAACTTTTATTAACGAATTATTTAATACTTAAGTAAATTATTATTGAGACAGTGAAGGTCAATCTAACGATGTGCACTTTGGAATTCTTTACATCATTTCCTGCGAGAAACCACAAAGAAACAGACACATCATAAAAAAAAGATTGCATCCCGCTTTTGTGTTTGTGTGTGCAACAAATTTCTTTTAAAACTGGTAGAGCCATGCAGACCAGGAAAGGACCACGTTCTCACAGAATACCAGCGTAAAATAGCAGCTTGCTTGTGGGTTTCGTATGGTCAGTGTAGAAAATCAAAGACTTTTTACTGGAAACAAGGTTATATTATTCTATTCATACTATTTTACATACAATATACATGATAATATATACGCATACAAACAACCATCCAGCCAAAAAATTTATGGCGTTGTAAAAACAGTAAAAATGCGAGGTTTACTTGTAAGTTATCAAGTAATTCAGCATTATATTGCTACTAGTCACATACAAAGAGATTTAAAATATATATATACTACTACTACTTAAATGTTTTTGGTTACATTCAATTTATAATAAGCATTACTTCACTTTTTGTTAAAGCCTAACGTGTGTAAAGAATTGAATGTGAAAAAGAGAGGGTCACTAATGTGTAAAAGAGATGCAGTATATATCTTTAGAGATAATAATTATTAAAACTTTACGGTAGAGCACGCACTGGCTGCCGGTTTTTACATCACTTCGCAAGATTTATATTATTAAAAATTAGGAGATTGCACACTGTTGTTTTACTACTTATTAAATATAATAAGTCATCGAAATGTCAATGGAATCCGTCGTAATTACGTAAATTTTCTATTAATATAGTTTCTAGTACCTATGATAGAGTCGTAGTTGTTACTGAACAACACCTACTAACACCGTTATTTTTTGCGAAATCACCTTATAAGTTGGTTTTTTCATTTATTATTGATTGAATACAAGTTTACAAGGTCTTCAGGCAGTTAGAGTCCGCGCACTAATGTAGTGTTAAGAGCGTTTACCAGGTGAGTGGCGATTACAGCAAACATTTTTTTATGTGGTATCTGACAGGACAACTTAAGGAATCGGATGCCGGGAAATGTCCGGATATTGTGTCGTACTAGATGAAACTTACATACAAACTCGACAACGTAATCCCCAACTGGTTTAAAATTTTGAATTCTCACCACACAGATAAAATATAAATATGTATAAGTTTCTTTTTCAAATTTAGGGATGCGGTGACTCTTTATTCATATCAATATTTAGCAGTTCTCGATCAGCAGTGCCATTGTGTAAATGGTGGGAATCGTTTGCCCATGGGTTTTGAGATTTTTAACGTTTCGAATGTGACGTCACGGCGCCAGTCGTCCGTCTGCTTGCGTCTTTGCGCTCCACTTAATATCGTATCAAAAATGAAAGCTATAGATATCGTTTTATACATTTCAGTTTTAATCTTTTTTTTATTTTTTACAAGCTTATTTTTTTACCCTTTACTATGCAATATTACACACTTAAACATCTAGAATGTCCCTATTCTCTTAGGGTTGAATTTTTCCTTACGCTTATCTATTTAATAAAAAAAGATCATTTAAATCGGGACAGCCGTTTCCGTGAAACAGATAAACAAATGTTAAGCTTTGTTTTGAAAGATCGTTTTTTGATAATTACGTATATAATTATAAGTGTTAATATTTTGGAAGCCCACTGGCAAATAATATATATTATTACTACGTACCACTGGTATTTATTAAAAATATTATGGTATTAATAAATGTAGTAATAATATACCTAAATTGGATAGTATTTTGGTGGCTCAATATTTTATAATGTCTTTCTGTCTTGTAATGTGAGCAATATTATATATAATACTGTCTGTTAATATAACTATATCCTATTCTGCCCCCTTTCATTGAATGCAGTTTCATAGATTTAAAATAACATTACAACTTGACTTTTCTACTCGTGTAATAAGCACGAGGTTAAGATAAGAAGATAAGCATGTGTGTATGTAAACATACACAGATATTACGAAGGTAATTTACCTAACTATACCAAATGGAGATCCGTGCAATTATTAATATCAACGGGCACATTCGTTTAGTTCAAAAGTTTTTTTATAAAGTATAGGGTGACAAACGAGCACACAGTCCACCTGATGGTAAGTGGTTGCTGTGGCCCATAGACATCTACATTTATCCTCGTTTGTGAATTAAAATGCAGATGCGTTGTCACCCATGAGGACTAAGATGGAATGCCTCTTTTACAGTAAAAAGGGTCTCCGGCTCTACACTCACCATACGAATCACAGCAATGTTAAGCTGCTATTTGACGCTGGTATTCTGTGAGAGCGTGGTACTTCCCCGGTCGAGGCGACCCATTCGTGCTACAACTATTCTACTAATATAGCTGCAGTATGGCTCTACCACGTATTAAGTTGCTGACGTAAATCACATTTCGATAGCTCAAGAGCTTAGGACCCCCTGCGATTCTGCAATTGTGACTATATCTCCCGCAAATGTGAATGTTTTTGCGTCATTGATGTTGATGCTCTTATCAACAACAATGTTGAGAACCTTATATGTTGGTATCCTTACCAGTAAAGGAGATTGAAAACGCCTTCCAATGCAGCAGTGAGCAGTTTCAGTTTGATATAATGTAACCTCCTCTTACACCTCTCTGCAGTTGGATAGGTTTCGTACTTTGGTTTTCTACTCCGATAGTCTAGTAATTGTACAAACACTTTAGCACTTACATACTGACAGCCAATCTGTCGCCACTAAAAGCACCGCAGTTCCGCCCAAATTTCGATGGAATCATACGCTTTCTTCATAGGTTGCAGATTGTACTTTTTGGTCTTCTGTAGAATTTGCCGTTTTTTGCGTGATAACTTGTATAAATCTGAACAAATAACCCATAACACAATAGGTGGAATATAATCAGTGATTAAGTATTTATTAGTATCATTTAAATAGTTAATATAAATAGCTTAAATTTGTGGCTGAGATTGATAATTAGCTTAATATAAGCTTATATAATAAATATTTATAATTAAATTGTTTTAACGTAAGGACTGTTTAGTACCCGTGGAAGAGCAGCGTCTTTCTAGTAACGACTAAAAATAAAAAAAACTGCGTTTGCCAACCCGCTTGCCGAACGTGGCAACTATGGCAAATATTCCTCCTATGAGGCAATATATGAGGGACGCCTATGTTTAGGAGTGGACTCAAATAGGCTGTAACGGTAACGGTAAGGTAAGTAAGGGATAGATACAACAACGATCACGCTCTTATTTGTGCAATTAAAAAAGACGGAAAAACAGTTTATCTGTTGTTGTTATGCGGAAATTGAAATACTTGAGCACGATACAATGTTTATTATTAATCATTGTTTGTAGCAAAAACTAGTTATCATTGCTATATACTTGTAAAAATGCCGCACGGGTAATTTATGATTGTGTTGCGTCGGGCTACTGACCCAGTGACGTCACTGCGATCGAACGCCTGCTACGATTTTATCAAAAACTTCAGGTAAAAGAGCGCACTTCAATCTTAATTATCTCAGCAAGTATTAAAGATAAAAAATTAAGAAATTTTTAACGCCATCGGTTGTTGGTCCTTCGAGCTAGCTTATTGTTACAGTCTACTGATTACTGCTCGCTGGGCTATGTCATTTAAAACATACCTGATTAAAAAAAAACAGCAATTAAAAGATTAACATTGGAAACAAATGTGCACAGGCCTTTACAAGTTGTATGCGGTTGCATTCATACGATGTGTTATGAATTAAGACTAAGGCTAAGAACTCATGGAGCGATTTTTACCCATGCCCGCAGCGAAAGCGGGACCGCGGCACGCGTAGAATATAAGAAATATAGTTATAATCAACATGATTTTTTCCCGCAGCGCGTGCGGTAGAATCGCGCAACCATCAGATTAATGGGATATGAATTAGGCCGTGAAATATTACACCATATTATATGTTTTTAGTTTCCTAATGTGGGCCTTCGACAAATGGAGTCCGTACAGTTACCAGAATAACCGGGAGAAGTATAAAGATGACGAGGAGAAGAGAGAATTCACACTGAAGGAGTGCCTTTGGTTTTGTATGACGTCACTCACGCCGCAGGGTGGCGGTGAAGCCCCGAAAAACCTCTCTGGAAGGTTACTAGCGGCAACTTGGTGGTTATTTGGGTAAATATTAACTTTTTTATTTTTTATATACCTGTACTAGCTGTTCCCCGCGACTTCACTCGCGTGTTTGGGTTTTTATGTTTTTTCGCGGAAGCCTAATTATTTTTCTAAAATAAAAGTAGCCTAAGTTACTCCTTATGAAATCAGCTATCTGCTAGTGAAAGTCCCGTCAAAATCGGTCCAGCCGTTTCGGAGATTAGCTGGAACCAACAGACAGACAGACAAAAATTTTAAAAATTGTGTAGTAGCTACTTACTATAACTTGTAGGTGACTTTAAATTCCTGTGTCATTTCAACTTCTATGCTAACTCTCTACACCTAAATGTACCTATGTAACTTAAATGTGTTATTTATTATTCTAATGGCCGATCACTAAACTGAATACGTGTCGAAAGGTTACTAACTGCTAAGTAAAAACGGTGTTACAAGGCCATAGAAAGAGAGATAGAGAGAGAGAGAGATAGGAAGAGTTTTCCTAAGTAGGAAAACGGCCCTGCCATTTAGTAGAATGTTTAAGTGACGTTTAGTTTTGAAGAAAAAAACATATGTAACTATGTAATTAATAAATAAATACATTTTTACAGTTTCATCATCATAGCTTCCTACACTGCGAATTTGGCTGCTTTCCTGACCGTCTCTCGGCTGGATACTCCCATAGAGTCCCTGGACGACCTCTCCAAACAGTACAAGATACAATATGCACCAGTGAATGGTTCTTCTGCTATGTCATACTTCGAGCGAATGGCAAATATAGAAGGGAGGTTTTATGAGTAAGTAAGAAACCTTTCTATTTTTTTACGTTGCCTCCACATTAGGATTTTCTCCTGTTTCGTAGGAGCAGTTTACTTACATTAATTTCTCAAGGACGAACATCCAGATCCGGAACAACTTTTTGTTAAACCGTACAAATACTTGTTCTGTTCGGTATTCGAACCTGCGGACCCGCGGCGTTAGCGCCGCAACTCATTGCTCAATCACTGCGCCACGGAGCCTTTCATATCTGATTTGCACGCTTTATGTGGTAGGATCACGTGTGCCTGGTAGAGTCGCGCTGTAGCCATTTACTTTTTTCTTGTTTTTATTTTCTAACCCCTTTCGTTCATAATAAGCTTTTGTTTTGAAATGTTTGTATCAAATAAATGATTCTTTCTTTAAGATGGGTATTATTATCAATCACATCGTTAAGGTGTATTAGAGATGTTTGTCTTTGTGAAAATGCTATATCGCAAACAATTAAAATAGATCGAATGTTACTAAAGAGACAAAGTTTCATATCGCCAATCTCGCCATTTACGACACCCACTGATTGATATGGGATAGTGGATTTCCTTACACCGCCACTACATGGCCGTGGCAGCTTAGGGGCAAGTGCTAGCTGTAAATTTCACAGTATGCGAGCAACCCGGGTTCGACCCCACCGGCACCAATGAAATTGTTAATTGCAATTTTAAGTGCTAATTCACCACGTGATCGGCGGTGAAGGAAAACATCGTGAGGAAACCTGCATATCTGAAAAATAGGAAATGAATATTTCGAAGACATGTGAAGTTCGCTAACGCATTGTGGTAGCCCGGCGAACATTTCTTTGCCTTAAAACCCTTTCAGAAATGAGAGGAGGCCTGAGCCCAGCAGTGGGACGTGTTTAGGCTGTAACTTGCTGTTTACTTTACACGGCGCTTTTGTTTCATTATGAAATAAAATTGTACATGCATACACCCAAATTTTCTTATCAGTATCGGTCATAGACTCCTTTGGTTGATAAAAAAATAAAACAATTTCTACTTATCATCTATAAAGATAGTCTTTAAAACTCATCGTCAAACATTGAAATCATTCATTTTGAAATGTGTCCGATTACTGTGTAAATTTGGTTAGTGAAAGATGTTCTCGAGTGGCAGCCTCGTAGCGGTAAGCGAAGTAAACGTCGGCCCACCACTAGATGAAATGGTAACCTCGTAACAGGAGCAGGAAATCGATGGTTCAGGTAGCTCATTCTTCAGGGGAGCTTGAGAGCTTGTCCTGCAGTGGACTTGTGAAGGGATTTAATGACGATGATGATGACTGGGTAAAATAAACGATATTATGGTTTTTATAGAAGTAATAATGACAAACGAGGACACAGTCCACCTGATGGTAAGTGGATGTCTTTAGACATCTTAATGTATTCTCGACTATAAGAATCGAAATGCAAATTGCATTATCAGCCCTGAGAACTAAGATGGAATGCCAGTATCCGTCGCTCGGTATACGAAACACAGCAGTATTGTGCTACTCCACATTTCATGCTGGTATTTTGTGGCGGGTTTGGTCTTTTTCCGGTATTTATATTTCTGCTGCGGCAATAATAGGTACATCTGACACTTAAGGACTGTAACATCAGATGTCTCTCGACCTCGGCACAAATTTCTGTCTTATACGTATTTTATTATAATTCGTGGTAGTATACTACTATCCATCAGATGCCACAAGATCTTTCTGGTCTCTCCATTAGCTTCCTCATCATATATACATATAAAACACAAAAAATGTTTCTACATTTGTCCGTTATATACTTTGAAACCATCCAACCGATGCTTCTCAAACCGGTTTCATTAAAAAGGCAATAATGCGAAGATGGTTTTAAACCACTACAACAAAAAAAAAAACAAAAAAATTGTGTACAAAAAAAGTTAATAATAAATAAACAAAATTTCATCAAAATCTCTTTCATCACATTTTTCATTCACGCCCACCTGTTAATGGTATTCGTGTCCTTATTATTTTGCATCTATTAAACTATATTATAAATTATAACATCGTTTTATTTGCAAAATGAGTAGTTATAATTATTTATAATATATGACCGCTAGAGGGGTACCGATGAGGTGCTCGGTTAGCCTAAGGCGCTGTCGACATTTAAAGCCGGTAATACATGTGGGCCAAGTTGGAATGAGTGAACATACTGACATTGCCAACTGCCATGTGGACACGAATTGCCGAGTGCTCGCTTTGATTTGTGCAGAGAAACCGACTCTGTTCCGAAGTGAGACGAGTCGTGGCGAGCGAACCCGAGTGGTGGCAAGGCACGCCAAACGAACCGTATACACGTTGGCTCTCGCTTCTACTCGGCCATCTAAGCGAGCGCCGACGAATGGCGAGATTAGGCAAATGTTCTGCTGTGTTCTGCTATGCGATTTGATACGTGGTAGAGCCATGCTGGAGCTATATTAGTAGTATAGTTGTAGCACAACTGGGTCGGCTCGACCGGGGAAGGACCACGCTCTCACAGAATACCAGCCTAAAATGGCAGCTTGACACTGCTGTGTTTCGTATGGTGAGTGTAGAGAACCGGAGACCCATTTTACTGCAAAAGAGACATTCCATCTTAGTCCTCACGGGTGACGACACATCTGCATTTTGATTCTTTATTGAGGATAAATGTAGATGTCTATGGGTAACAGCAACCACTTACCATCAGGTGGACTGTGTGCTCGTTTGTCACCCTATCCTATAAAAAATGCTGTATAGCTGACTTTATACGCCTCCTTGTCAGCCGTGCTGCCTCAATGCGTGTTTACGGACTTTGCATGTCTTCAAAATATTTTTAATATCTCTGAAATGCAGGTTTCACGCATTGCAGGCTCCACGACGTTTTCCTGTATCGCCGAGCACGTAGTGGATAAGCTCCTAAAATTGCAATTAGCAATTTCTTTGGTCGACACCAAGCGGGAACTAAACCAGAGTTGCTCGCGTTTTACTCTTACGTTGGTTATCCTCCTATTCTTTTAATTTAATAAACATGTATGTGATATAGTGTTACACTTGTAATCCCTGAGGGGGTGGCAGAGTCCAAATATCAGCGAACTATTCGGATCACATTTAATCAAAAAATATGGATGAGAAATTGTGAAGGAAGTGATGGTGGCTATCACTATCGCCTACACAATCACAAACCAGTTTTCTTTTATAGAATAAGTGTGACAAACGAGCACACAGTCCACCTGGTGGTTGCTGTGGCACATAGACATCGGCACCTATCCCCAATTAAGAATCAAAATGCAAAAAAAGTGTCTCCTGTTCTCTACACTCACCATACGAAATACAGCAGCGTTAAGCTGCTATTTTACGCTGGTATTCTGTGAGAACTTGGACACCGGTCGAGCCGACCCATTCGTGCTACAACTATACCATTAATATAGCTGTAGCGTGGCTCTACCACTTGTTAAAAGTGTGTTAGTTGGCACATTTATTTTTGTTATTAGTTCTACATAAACATGGAACCTATGAGCCCTAAAACAACTTGGTATAGTCCTAGATCAACATATAATAATATTGCACCATCTTAAATAACTCATCCGTTTTTCTTTCAGAATATGGAAAGCGATGAGCTTAAACGACAGTCTTAGTGAGGTAGAACGAGCAAAACTAGCTGTCTGGGAATACCCGGTCAGCGACAAGTACAGCAAAATGTGGCAAGCCATGAAGGAGGCGGGTCTCCCCAACTCAATAGAAGAGGCGATACAAAGAGTGAGGGATTCGAGGACTTCGAGCGATGGCTTCGCTTGGCTCGGCGATGCGACGGATGTGAGGTACCAAGTGCTGACCAGCTGTGACCTGCAAATGGTGGGTGACGAGTTCTCGAGGAAGCCGTACGCCATAGCGGTACAACAAGGTTCCCCGCTAAAGGATCAGTTTAATAACGCGTAAGTTTGCTATACACAATTTGCAAGTCCACTGAACATAGGCCTCCCCCATACAGTGCCTCATAAGGGGGATATTTGCCATAGTTGCCGCGTTTGTCAAGCGGGTTTTTAATCGTAGTTTTTTTTATTTTTAGACTCTGCTGCCCATTTCTGGATTTGTTTCCCTCTGTCGCCTCCTACGATACCCACGGGATGATATGGGGTAGTGGATATTCTTACACCGCCACTACACGGTACGATAGAGTTTCATTCGCCGTTGTGTAATGGTGGCGAGCTAATCCACTGCCCCATACCATCATGAAGAAGTAGTAAGAGTATGGTTTACGGGTCTGGATGTTTTAAGCTCTCGATGCAAAAAGAGGAGTGTTATAAGTTTGACCGCTATTTGTGTCTGTCTTAATCTTAATCTGAAACAGGTGAACTGATTTGGTTACGGTTTTATTTATTTGAAAGCAGATTTTCTAGCGGTGATTTTTAGACATTTTTTATCCAAATCGGTTCAGCCGTTGCAAGGTCATTAGCTGTTTTGGTAGCTGCGGTGGGGTTCTTTTCGGTTGTTTTTAAAATTTTTAATTTAAGTTTTCTAAAGTTTGTTTATGTGGTATATCTACGTTCGCAATACAGAAGAAATTTCTAGTGACGTCGTAAAAAAAAAGAAAGGGAAGTTTAGATTTCATAAATACATAATTTACTGTATTTTTTATTTTGTTAACACGTCCCACTGTCTTGCTGATTTTTTCATGATAGATTTTTTTCCGAGCCGGTGGTAAAAGAAATATGACTTTTATTAATTATTATTTATAATCTACATTAAATAAAAAATAATCTATTCTATTCTAAACTATTATTTTTCTCATATAATTGTATATAATATGACTAAAATACGAAGTACGTATAAATCTAGGTTTAGCCGGATACATTTAGGTGTAGCGGATTGCGGTTCGTTAAACGTAATGAATAAAAACCTAAAAAAAAAAGGTACTAATTAGTGTTCAATTTATAAATGAAAAGAAAGCAATGAGGGCTAATATTCTTACACCCACCAGATGTCGCTATAGTCACACTACTGTCGTCATCATTTAAAAAAGTTGCGCTTTAATTAAACGTTTTGTAATGTACATACACAAAATTATGCCTCAGTGCTGTATTCTTTAATTTTTTTTACATATTTTTACCTTTTAATTCTTCTTTTAGAAATTACCGTAGTTTATTTTATACATTTTATTCTAATAAAAATGAAATAATATTATAATGGTAATATTTGAGAAAGATAATACGTGGTAGAGCCATGCTGCAGCTATATTACTAGTATAGTTGTAGCAGGAATGGGTCGGCTCGACCGGGGAAGGACCACGCTCTCACAGAATACCAGCGTAAAATAGCAGCTGTACACTGCTGTGTTTCGTATGGTGAGTGAAACATCTCTACATTTTACTGACAATTTAACTCCCCCCGCTATGAAACCTGTCAAATATTTTACCTCATTCCAAAGTGGTGCCGCCCTGGTGATAGAAAATGTCATGGATGTCATCATTGGACGTTCTAAGTAGAGAAGTAAAGATAGTATAATGCACTATTACTTTTAAAACACTGATAGCGCCATCTATTGAGTACATTATGTCCGTAGTAATTTTTTCAGTAATAGCGCTAATCACAGTGCATCAATATAAATGTACCCATTGGAATATTTTTCGGGCTTTGACAAGTGACGTAATAACTTTTTGCAGATTTAAAAACTTACATATGGTATTATAACTCAATGATTAGCGATCCTTTTGCAAAGCGTGAATATTTCTATAACGAAGAACCAGCTAGAAACCCAGCGGGATTTTTTCACAATTTTTAACATTTATATATATATATAGGTATATATATATATATATATATATATATATATATATATATATATATATATATATATATATAATCAGGCTTTACATTAATTATATATGTAAAGACCATAATTTGACCATTTCAACAATTTCTCGTTTTGCCTATTTCACTGACTCCGCACTAGTGGTTACCACTTAAGGCGATGCCCTGACCAAAACCTTGCGATAGTGCGTTTTTGAGAGACTATTATCTCATTAGTTATGAGAAATAAACTACATCTAAAAGCACATTATTAATGTTCGATATCCTATCATCACATTCCATGTTCTAATTTGTTTTATGTGTTATAAATACATTTAAAATCTACTTTTAAAAAATGACTAAAATTATTGATTACATGCATCTGTTGCTAAAGGCAACGCTCTAATCATTTGAGAATTACACTAATCGATAGATAATTTAAAAATCTATATTCTTCACGTTTTATTTAATAATTAAAGTTCGTTTTTCTTTTTTAATTAAAATAATTTCAAAAATTGTGTGAATTTTATGATAAAACAGCGTACGTCTAAAGAGGGAACGAATCAAGGTTATTAATAAAGCACGGTCGCGGAGCAGGAATGTTTTTATTGCTTTGCATTTTTAAACTAATTCCAATCAAAAAAAGTTTTATTTCTATTGCAACTAAGATAGTTTTAGGACCTTTAGAGCAGTATTTGTGATTCAAAAACCGAGTTATTAAAGTTCACATTTGTATGAATTGCAATAATTTGAAATTCTTCCTGCTCCGCGAGCCTTCTCTGTTTGGAAATTAAAGATGTTTGGGGTTAGCTTGAATATATTTTGATTTGCACGTTATTAAAACGAACGAAAACTTTTCATTGTAGTTATATGCATTTCAAGTACTTTGCATTTGTTTCAAAAATGGTAAATTATTGTTTAAGTAACCTTTGGCAGTGTCTTCGTGCCGCCAACGTATTGCGGGTCGTCGTCCGGATTATACGTTGTGTGCTACATTTTTCTCCGCAAACGAAACTATTTCTTATTTTTAATACGAATTATCATTGCCTGACGACTGGCTTTAAAATAAATCACATTTTAGTTTTAGATGTTTGTTTTTGATCTTTGCTACTTTTCTGCCGACTTCCAAAAAGGAGCCGGTACTCAATTCGACTGTATGTTTTTTTTTTCGTTTTTTTTTATGTGTGTTACCTCAGAACTTTTTTCTGGGTGAACCGATTTCGATGATTCTTTTTTTATTTGAAAGCTGGTACTTCTCGTGTGGTCCCATATGAATTTGATCAAGGTCAGACCAATAGTTTTTAAGTTATTCTTAAATAACTTATATTGAAGTCGGCTGTACAAAATTTTTAATTTTAAATTATTCCCGTTAATGTTTGTTTAAATTTTGTCATTAGAACATTTTTTAATATGAGCTCACAATCTATAACTATAACCGTGTCTCCACCGACCGCTGATTAATAGAAAGGAAAACATATCATTACTACTTGGTGCCTTTTATTCAACTAAAAATGTTCAAATGTAATGTGCCTAAAAAGTTTGATGTATTTTAACGGTGTTTAAAAGGTGTTGTTACATTCGTCTTAGTTGAGGAAATGACAGGGTAGAAAAAATTTCACGTTTCAGTAAGTAAACTTTTTATGCATTCGGAGTTTTTATTATTTACTGTTTAAAGCATTGGGACAAATGCCGTGGTAGCTCAGATGGTTAGCGCTCACTGTAAGTTTCATAGTACGCGAGCAACCCGGGTTCAATGATCCCCGCCGGTACCAATTAAATTGTTAGTTGCAATTTTTGGTGCTGATTTACCAAGTGCTCGGTGGTGAAGGAAAAATATGGTGAGGAAATCTGCATGTCTGAGAAATAAGAAAAAATATTTCGAAGACATATTAAGTTCGCCAACACGTATCGGGGTAGCGCGGCGGACATTTCCTTGTCCTAAAAACCTTTCAGAAATGAGAGGAGGCCTGTGCCCAGCAGTGGGACGTATATAGGCTGTAACTTTAACTTTAAGCATTGGGTTTGTTTGAAATAGCAATAACATCATAACATCCTGTTTATACCAGATAGTCATGACTAAGCGTCTGATATTTGCAAGTAGCCATAATTTCACAACAACATGTTGATCATGAATTCTCCCGACTAAAGCTTTTGATATTAGATTACTCGTTAACAAGTACATATAATGTTGCAGAAAACACTGACTCCACTGTTTTATTGTTATTGCATGTCAAGGTTTGTAGTAGGTAGGTACTTTCAGTGAACACAATGGTTTTGACTACTCTATAAAAGTCGTTGCAAACAGTACTATATTCATTATAGTCTTCTCGTAGTATTCGCCTAGATAAGGAAGTCAATATAACACTAAATAAGTTTTAATTCATTATTGTAATGATGTAGTAATAAATTCCACCGAGACATAATTGACAAGGCCAACGATTTTTGTTATGTGCATATTACAAAACTAGAGAAAATTCCAAGAAAAATTGTGTTTTTATTTATTTCCTATCTAAAAAATTACTGCGATATTGAAGATTAAAAGTTAATGATGGCATATAAAGCTCGGTGACGTCATTACTCCCGTCACGCCGCCCCACACGGGAACTTACCATTTCGTTCGCAATTTCGAGCGGGTCACTCATCGCAGTGATTATTATTTTTGGCTAAAAATATCATATAGGTATCAATAAGAACTAAAACCACCATACAAATTGTTTTTTATGGTCCCATACTATCACATGTACGGCACTGCCATCGGCGTGTAAAGGTCCATAAGAGTAATTAAAAAATAAATATTTAAAGGTATAGCTTTCCTATCTAATTTTTATTTATTTCATTATAATCGACTTTTTACATAAAATACATGATTGTTCAACCATTGAACTTGAGACCCGCATTTAAAGAATGTGTATGAAATATTTCTAGCCATGCTTACCTAAAGAGCTATAACAAAAACAAACAATAACAAGTCTACCCAGAATCGTTTCAAATCAAAAAAAATCAAAATCAAAAATCGTTTATTGCGTTTCAAAAGGTAGTAACAAACAAGTGGCAAGGGCCCCTGTACTGGGTTGGGAAAACCTGTGTTACGGGGTACCCCGCTCTTCCAACAGACAAATTTTAACAATTTGAAACATAGGATATTACATATTATATTAGTGCTTTAACAAGGAAATTTTAGATACTTAAGAAAGAATGAAAGTGTATGTGTGTGTGTGTGTGTGCGTGTGCGTGCGTGTGTGTGTGTGTGTGTGTGTGTGTGTGTGTGTGTGTGTGTGTGTGTGTGTGTGTGTGTGTGTGTGTGTGTGTGTGTGTGTGTGTGTGTGTGTGTGTGTGTGGGTGGGTGGGTGTGTGTGTGTGTGTGTGCGTGTGTGTTTAGCAAATAAGCAGTTCTGTTTCTTCATAATTGAGGCTAAGCAGAGTTGTTGTTAACAAATTTTTCAATTTAACACAAGTGAGGGGATACATATTTAGCCTACTATTTAATTTATTATATAGATATTTTGATTTACAGGCAAATTGTTTTTTCTTAAATTTGGTTTTACAATATGGAATATTGAAAACAGGTAGAATTCTACGTTTTAGTGTCTGAAGGGCAGTGTATGGTAAAGTGCTGTGGGTTCGTATAACACTCTTTAAAATGTACATTTGGCGGGTTGTTAAGATTTTGTAAGATTTGTGTAGTTCGTGAGTTGAGAAACGGATTGGTTTAAAGAACATCACCTTCAGTAATGCTCTCTGAGCCCTTTCAAGAGTTATTAAATAGGACTTAGCTGCTCCACCCCATGCTGTAATGCAGTAGCTTAAGACAGATTGGGCTAGAGCTTTATACGTACATATAAGAATTTTATTATCTGCGACATGTCTGAGCCTTCTAAAAGAGTTTCCGCTCGGGAATCGAACCCGGAGACGCTGATAGTTAGCTACACCACACATGTCGTCATAAAATAAATACGTGGTAAAGCCATGCTGCAACTATCTTAGTTGTATAGTTGAAGCACGAATGGGTCGGCTCGACCGGGGAAGGACCACGCTCTCACAGAATACCAGCGTAAAATAGCAGCTTAATGCTGCTGTGTTGCGTATGGTGAGAGTAGAGAACCGAAGACCCTTTTACTGGAAACGAGGCATTCCATCTTAGTCCTCACGTCACACATCTGCCACTTGATTCGTAATCGAGGATAGATGTAGATGTCTATGAGCCACAGCAACCAATTACCATTAGGTGGACTGTGTGCTCGCTTGTCGCCTTTATTCTATAAAAAAATAATTTTGTTTTCAAATTGAAAATGACAATACCATGTCATTGTCAAGTATCAAATGAGTACGAGGACTTCTAAAACTTAAGAAAAGCGTAGTGCCTCATAAGTTTACTTGTCAAAAGCAATTAAATGAAAACGCTCGTTTGTCACCATTATTCTATAAAAAAGACCGCAGAAAGTTATTATCAATGGTAAAAGTTCTTCCGGGTCACATGTCTAATGGGTGTCCCTCGGGGCTCGATTCTCGGCCCATTTCTATTTCTTGGGTATATATTGACTTACCTTCCCTTGTAGGGGATAATCATGATATAATATTATTTGCTGATGATACTTCCTTGATTTTTAAACTTAAACGTCAATCATTTAAATGTGGTGAAGTGAATAATGCTATATCAAAATTAGTGCATTGGTTTAACGTTAATAATCTACATTTAAATGGAAATAAAACTAAATTTATTAAGTTTACAAAAACTAAGATGTTTTTAAAAGTAGTTAAAAATCTGAATACCAATGTGTTTTTAAATGAGAAGGAACTGAGCCCTGTTGTATCCACTACTTTTTTTGGTATCACTGCGACGTACAGATTAAGTGGGGCCCCCATATATCCAAATTAGCAAGCAGACTAAGTTCTGCAGCCTATGCTGTAAAAAAGATTAGAGGTCTCACTAGTTTCGAGGTAGAGAGATTAGTTTATTTCGGTAATTTCCATAGCATAATGTCTTATGGAATTTTGCTATGGGGAAATGCGGCTGATGTAGAAAATATTTTTGTTTTTCGGAAGAGGGTCATTCGAACTATTTACAGCCTTATACCGAGCGAGTCTCTTAGAGAATAAAATTAAAGAAATACATATATTAACTTTGGTCTCAGAATATTTACGAAAATTTTATGTATGTTTGCAAAAATAAAGGTAGTTTTAGTAAAAAAAAAAAGTGATATACACTCTGTAAACAAACACAAGCTAGTAATACCAGTTTCTTGACTCCACAGAGTCAGTAATTCATTCTTGGGGCAATGTATACGCTATTACAACAAAGTCCCAGAAAATATACAAGCTCTCTCTATTACCAAGTTTAAATATTTTATTAATATATTTAATCTTGAAATTAAATATTTTATTAAGATATTTTATTAATATATGGTTGATAATAACCCCTGGGAATGAGGCGGTCGCTTCCAAGCTGTTTCTAAAATAAATATTGTAAAGTTTGTACAACCATTCATGTAAAATGTACTTTAAAAAAAGTTCCCCTGGGTTTCTTGCTGGTTTTTCGAACCAGTGGTAAAGTAAAAGTAAAAAATGACTTTCAATAAGAATTACAAAAAAAAATTCTATTCTAAAAATATTCTATTCTATTCTAACGAATCATAATATGTTAACGAAGTTAATGCTTACGTTTCCATTTTTATTCCACGCATTTTGGCTGCCCGTCACAATTTTATAAAAATAAAACCATTTATTTTAGGCAAATAGTCAGATTGGCCTTTTTCATAGCTGACTTCCTAATATTACAACTTTTACAACTTTTTGAATCGTTATATCTCAAAAACGGTGGGTCGTAGGAAAAAAAAGTATTGATACATTTTTTGTAGATAATTTTATGATCTACAAGCTTGATCTGAGGTATTTTTATGATAAAACTTACAGTTTTGCTTAAAAACGCGAAAAACTTATTTTTTGACCTTTGACCTTGAATAAAAATTTTGCCATTCACGGGAAAGATGGGGAACTTTCAAATTTTATTTTTAATTATATTTTAAACAATCTTATTGATTTTCAGCTTGGTGGGAATTTAGGTAGCTTTACTCGTATTTTTAGGTCTAATTTGATCGGACTAAAGGCTGTGGCAGAATAACAGGAGTAATGGGTTTCCCGGTTTCCCGTTGTAATTGTGTCACAGACCGTTTTGTCACATCTACCTAATTATTAAATTGTAAATTTTAACATTGCATTTTTGTGGTAAATAAATACGTTTTATTCATTTATTTAATCACGTACTGAACTTGATGACAATAACTTTTGACAGGATCCTCCAACTCTTAAACAAACGCGAGCTGGAGAAATTGAAGGAGAACTGGTGGAACAAAAATCCTAACGCGAAGAGATGCGATAAGCAGGACGATCAATCCGACGGTATCTCCATACAGAACATAGGCGGGGTGTTTATCGTCATATTCATGGGCATCGGGCTGGCTTGCATCACGTTGGGTGTCGAGTACTGGTGGTACAAATGGCGGAAACGTTCAACTATTGGAGAAGTTACACGGGTTCGTTGGTTTTTTGTATACTTTGACGTTTACAAAGTAAAAATAGTGAACCATGTAGTGGCGGTGTAAGAATATCCACTACCCAATATCGTCTCGTGGGTGTCCTAAGAGGCAGCAGAGGGAAAGAAACCAGAAGATGGGATGTAGTGTCTTCCTGATAACAGTTATAAAAAATGCAGTTGTCAACTTGCTTGTCATGCGTGGTAACTATGACAAGTAATTTCCTCGTGAGGAAATCTATGGGGAAGCCTATGTTCAGCAGTGCACTTTGATAGGCTGTAATGATGTTACTTTTGTAGCATATGGGTGACAAACGAGTACACAGTCTACTTGATGGTAAGCGGCTATTATGGCACATTGCCCAACATCGATCTCGACATCTACATCTATTCTCGATTAAGAATCAAAATGCAGATGCGTTATCACCCCTGGGGACAAAAATGAAATGCTTCGTTTCCAATAAAGAGTCTCCGGTTTTCTACAGTCATCATACGTAGCAGTAAGCTGCTATTTTACGCTGGTATTCTGTGAGAGCATGGTCCTACTTGGGTCGAGCTATGGGTAGCTGTAACGTGACTCTACCACGTAACGGATTGCTCTTTTAGAATAATTTTGTGACTATCATTACAAGCGCCTGTGATTTTAATGTTTCCTGACTAATGCTGTAATATGTTATTTTACTATTTCTTAAATGAAATACTAAATTAGGATAAATTTTGATTTAACTAAATTAGTATGGCTGAATGTGATCTTATATACTTATATTGATTAATATTTGCTTACGATTGGATGTATTAACGCTGGAAATAATTTAGTTGCGTTATATTAATTTTCAAGTATAATTGCTTGTCAAATATATATTGTTAGTATCTATTTTATAGGATACGAGCACACAGTCCACCTGATGGTAAGTGGTTGCTGTGACCCATAGACATCTATATCTCTATATCATAATAAAGAATCAAAATACAGATGCGATCGCTTTGTGACATTCGTGTTGTTCCTTTCGTTTATTTTATAAAAACATAACCACCTTTTCTAAAAACTATAGCTATCTCTGTTTAGTATAAAGTACTATTTCTTTCTAACATTTAGCTCTGTCTAGCCATTATGCATCTTATCTCTTATCACATATCTTTAAGTTATGCAAATAATTAAACATTTAATTCTTTATTCGTATTACATAGCCGATTGCTATATAATGCATGACTCAATCGGCTATTTACTCGTAATATTCATTTTAAACCAATATCTCAGAGAAAATTAGTATTTCTTTATTAATATAAATTAAACGTCCTATCGTAAAGAATGAATTATTTTTAGGAAACATTATCTCGCGTCGCTAAAACCACCTGATTAATTTATTTTAGGTTAATATTATAATTTATTTACAATAATATTATTATTAGACTTATAATATTATTGCTGCATTTTTGCAGGTGGAGCCAGCGAAAGTAGTAAGAAACGTCGCGGACCCAGCCGATAGACCTGAATATTCTTTTAGATCTAGAAACCAAGGAATGACTAATTTGAAGCGAAAGTTTTAACTTTTAACTATCGAAAGAATATTCGTATTTATGTGCTTACTTATGTGCTCGAAAAATGTGATCTCAATTTGTTACTCAAGTTTCAAATATTTAAGGAAATTTCTAATGTTTGTTGTTTGTTTGTTTGCTTGAGTTTAATGTCGCACCTATCGCACAATATTTGTGATTTCAAATAAATAAAACCTCAACATAATTTCAAAGTATTTTAATAATCTTATCTACAATAACACGATATTTTTTTATAAAAGTTAGCAAAGAAAATTATTTATTAAAATGTACAATAATTTAAACTAAGGAGTCCATTGCCATTGAGTATCATAGTCAAGAAAAAAATAATTACTTTTGTGTGGGAAAGAAACTGGCGCACAGACCGCGGCAAGAGAATCGAACTTAAATTAAAAAAATATTTACAAAAGCCGAATAGTTCTAAATAAATATTAAGCCCTATTGAATTTGGTAGTGTTACAACTCTATGGTCTTCCCGTGTTGGTTTATATTTTTCATGTTCTTATTGCATAGTTCCAGTTCGAGTCTCAGTCCGTCCACTTCGGCTTCCAAAGTGCGCGACCTCTTGAACATTTGCACGTAGTTCATTTGTAACTGCTTCTGGTATCTCAGCACTTTGTCCTTCTCCTCGGACCATTTCCTCCTTTCGTTGTTGAACTGTGTTTCTTTCGATTGCATTTCGCATTTGAGTCTTTCTAGCATCGCGCTCGTCGGGCAGGGATCACTGCATGTGTCGGGAAGTTCCCCGTTCAATCTCTGCACTTCTGCGTCTTCCAGAGCGCTATCGCTGGAATTCCAGTGGTATTCGTTCGTTTTGCAGACGTCGTAAATTCCTCTCATTGTCCTCCCACACTCTATCCCTTCGTATCCGCTCAGCGAAACATCAGATAGCTCTTGCCGCAGTTCTTTTAGTTCGGTTTTTAGTCTTTCAATTTCGTTCTTGCTGCTCTCCTTTACTTTGTTCAGATCTGCTACGCTCTCCATTAGGTCGTTTGTCAGTCTGTCGACTTCTGTTTGTAGTCTGCTCATTGATTTCTCTTTCTCCTCCAGTTCGGATCGCAGCCTCATTATGTCCTTCTCTTTTTTGTCGAGCGCTTCTCTTAGTTGGCGGCAGTCGGCTTTCAGGGTTAGGTATTCGTGGCCTTTCGCAGTCTGCTCATTCTGTAACAGACAAGAGATTTTATTATTAAAAAAAAACTAGTTACAATTCTTTTTGTTTACATGAAATATGAATTATTGAATAAATAATTTTAAAATGTTTCCATCAGAAGGTTATCTTAATAAGATAAAAATCAAAGAGGTGTAGAAAACATAACGCAGTTTCGACATACTACTTGTAAGTAGTTAATTCTCGTAAATAAATAAAATTGTTATATTTTTTATTGTTTTCTTGGATTTTAGTTTTGATAGCTATAAATAAAATGACGCATTCAGTTTAAAAAGAAATGTTTAATTAATTTAAAAATCTAATTGAATTTTTTTCTAGAGAATGTTACAATCATTGGCACTTTAGCATAGTAAATGGCACTGTAAATTAAGTATAATCATTGGCACTATTGGAAGTCTCAATAATTTAAAATAAAAAATTTTGTCTAACCGACTTCAATATAAATTATTAAGAATAACTCAAAAACTATTTGTCAGACCTCTATCAAATTTATATGGGACTACATGTGAAGCACCAGCTTTCAAATAAAAAAGAATCATCGTTCACCCAGTAAAAAGTTATGAGGTAACACACATAAAAATACATACAGTCGAATTGAGTACCGGCTTCTTTTTAAAGTCGGTAGAAAAGTTATACCCAGATCTTTCTAAGCTCCATCTTATTGTTATAAGACTTATTTTGAACAAATATTCTTCAAATATTTTCTTTTGATCTTTATCTTTATCTTTATTGTCATATTTGTACACAGATGTATTTACTACGCGGTAAGAGTTCTTTTTTGCCCAGAAGACTATAGTGCTCGGGTTTATGCGCAAGCACAGGTGCACTCTCTGTTTTCTCATTCTCATAGTCCGACGGGACCGGAGAGACAGCGCAGGACCCGCCTGTACTTTCCGAGGCATGGAGGTGATATACCGCCCACTTCCTGACTCTGAGCTGATACTCAGTTTCTTGGCAGAAATACCCAAGAAGTGATTTTGCTCGACCATGGCGGGGATGCAATTATCATCAAGTGGACTATAAGTTTGTTTGTTACGTCAGTTTTATAAAAAAAATTAGAAAATGTTTTATTTATTTATTTCAAATAACAACTATCATGACAGGAAAAAAGCCTAATGCGACAGTGTAGTTCTTTTCATCCATAATAAAAATGTGGTCATTAACTGTAACATATTGTAAACAATCCTACTCTAGTGAATTCACTCAAGGTTTTTTTTATAGGATAGGGTGACAAACGAGCACACAGTCCACCTGATGGTAAGTGATTGCTGTGGCCCATAGACATCTACATCTATCCTCGCTTGCGAATCAAAATGCAGATGCGTTGTCACCCGTGAGGACTAAGATGGAATGCCTCTTTACCAGTAAAAAGGGTGTCCGGTTCTCTACACTCACCATACGGAACACAGCAGTGTCAAGCTGCCTGCTATTTTACGCTGGTATTATGTGATAGCGTGATCCTTCCCCGGTCGAGCCGACCCATTCGTGCTACAACTATACTACTAATATAGCTGCAACATGGCTCTACCACGTATAAAAAAGGTGCAATAGAATAGGTCAATGCCTCCAGCCATTCTATTAAGAATGCGTAACGTTCGCGTTAAAGGCATCTTATCGAGTAAATTGGTACGGGCTCGCGGCGCAGTCAGCAGTCATGGCCGCCGCCGTTTCCATACGTACCCGTTTGGAACACACAGCCCATTTCGCCCCAATATGTCAATATTATATATTTTTCCTCTAAGCATTTTAAAAATAATATGGCGTAATTTATAAGCGACCATGTTCAGCGAGGGACTGGTTGGGACGCTTAAAGTTATGTCGTCGAACAAACACGTAGTAAGGACATACATAAATAATAATTACATATTTTATATAATATACATTGCGGTGTGGTGAAAGTGTAATAGAATTCATCACCCAGTTACTTTCATAACTCAAAGCACTGAGTTTCATTAGAAGCGATTATGACAAATTTAACGTGAACAAGTTTAAATTTTACGTAGTACAACCATGCTGCAGCTATATTGTAGTTGTAGCACGAATGTGTTGGCTTGTTGGGAGGGGCCACGCTCTCACAGAAGCGTTGGTAAAATAGCAGCTTAATGATGTTGTGTTTCGTATGGTTAGTGTAGAGAACCGGAGACCCTCTTTCCTGGGTATGAGGCATTCCATCTTAGTCCTCAGGGGTGATAACGCACCTGCATTGTGATTCTCAATCGAGGATAGATGTCTATGGGCCACAGCATACACTTACCATCAGCTGGACAGTGTGCACGTCTGTCACCGTTCTACTGTATTACGACATCTACATCTACCCTCGATTAAGAATCGAAATACAGAATGCCCTGAGGACTAAAGATAGAATGCTTCATTTCCAGTAAAAATGGCTTCCGATTTTCTACACTATAGATAGTTAAAAACCTTTTCTTTTAATATATTGCAGCCTGGAGAAATTTTTTAGATTCCATATATTCACGATGATATGTATAATATTTTTTTTATAGGTTAAGGATGACAAACGAGCACACAGTCCATCTGATGGTAAGTGGTTGCTGTGGCCTATAGACATCTTACATCTATCTTCGATTACGAATCAAAATGCAGATGCGTTGTCACCCGTGAGGACTAAGATGAATGCCTCGTTTCCAGTAAAAAGGGTTTCCGGTTCTCTACACTCACCATACGAAACACAGCAGCACTAAGATGCTATTTTACGCTGGTATTCTGTGAGAGGTGGCCCTTCCCCGGTCGAGCCGACCCGTTCGTGCTACAACTATACCAGTAATATAGCTGCAGCATAGCTCTACCACGTAATGTACAATTAATTTAACAACATTTTACGAAAGTAAAATTATAAAAGCAGGCTATGCACAAATTCACGGAAGTGGAAGTAGTTTTTTACTTCTTTACTGATTATAAAAGTGTCCATTAGTATAGCCACTCAACTGCTGTTTCGCAATATGTTCGTATTCATTGCATTTCTTTGTCACGCTAAGCGCTTTACAAATGAAATATTGAGTCCTTTATCACCGATGCGTAAAATATATAAAAACTACAAAACTTTTCACGTAACTCAGTTCCGTGACTAGCATAGTAGTATTAAAACTGATTTACATTACAAAAGGATTGTTTTCTATCCTGTGAAAAATAAAACTCGTATAGGTGTTAAACATGGTGTAAATTGATTTTACACTGTGTATGGACGTTTTTCATTTAGCGTTCATTTTTGCTAAGCGATAAAAAATGTGGAAACATTTTAAATAAAATGTTTTTATTCTAACCATATACGACTGGCCGCACAGAAAGATTGCAAAAAATAAATTTTTTTGTATGAGATACCAGTCGGTTTTAATTTACTTTTAAAGTACATTTTTTATAAATACATATTACAATTTACAAGTCATAATATGACAGCTCCAATTTCAAATATTCAATTCGCGCGATAGTTTGTACTATTTCAAATGTCACCGAAAATTGGACAAACCGTTTGGTAAATTTCAAATGGCATTTATGGTTAAAAGTCCTTGTAAGGAAACTGTTTACCGCTGTTATAATAAATTTCTGCACGGTCGGCAAACTTTGAGAGATAAAGAAAGAATTTTTGACGGCTGTTATGTCACACAATGCGTATGGTATATAGTAGACATGTGACATTCGTTCATTTCTAGTGACCCGATCATTCAAGTATTGATTCGTCTTACGCACCGGGTCATTTGAGTCGATCATTAAAATGGATCATTTTTAGTTTCAGTACTCTGTGATCTGTGAGACCCGCTCGATAATGTCAATCGTCGGACATTACTATACTCTTTGGTCGTAGGCCCTGTCGAAACGTTTAAAAAATGTAATTGCAATCATCAATACTTTGATGCAACCCGGGTCAAATCAAAGAATCATTCACGGTTGACACATATCTATTATATCTGTGGGCACGGCAGTGCCCACGCCAAGTCGAGCAAAAAAGCGGCACGGCCGTACCATCCTTTTCTCGAAGCAGTTCAAGCCATTTTCGAAACCCTATAACTTCGTTATGGATTAAACTAGAAGCCTGAATTCAGTAACCAAGTAGGCATTATATAAACTCGATATGTTTCAAATTTTATTAAATTTAAGCCAGTAGTTTAAGAATTATAACTAGTCAAAGTTTCTTAATTTTGTCAGTCACTCACTGACCGATCATCAAAACTCTAAGGCACTTCTAGGAGACATAGAAGCTTTAAATTTGGAATAGAATTATTGTTTAGTATATAAATCAAGGAAAAGTTTAAATATTTTTCAATTTCGGTCCAGTTTTCGAGATACACCAATAGCATTAATACCGCCTGGTATACTAACAATTACTTGTCAGAAGTGGCTTCGCGGGCTACTGCTTCACCATGACAACGAGCTTGCGCACCCATCACTCAAAACGAGTGAGTCCTTGGAGCACACCGGTCAAGCTTTTAGGACTAGTTACAGTTCTGATTTCGCACCTTCTGACTTGTTTTTATTCCTTCAGATGATAAATCAGCTATTTTCATTGCCGGAAGGTGTGTTATCAGCGTTTGAGCAGGCAGTAGAAGAAGTGTCAGAAGCACGCTGGAAAAAGTGTTTTGTAAATTGATTCAGACGAGGAGAATGTTCGTATATGAATCACGGGATACCGAAATGGTTAAGATAAATAGTACCATTCTATACACCTATTATATTTTATAGGTATAGAAATGTTTTAGCGGAGTGACCTCGGTGATCTGTGGCAAGTTACTTTTTTACGTTACTTAGCTCTGCAGCTGGTACCAAAACTCACTGTGACTCACCAGACTCGTTACTCATTTGAGCCTTCTTGAGCCGAGCTTTGATCAATATGCACTTACCGTTGTTATATCACATTGACTTGAGTCTACTTAAATTGTGCCATCTCCTATCTTTTTAAGTCGCTTACCTAAGCCTCCTTCTTGTCCCGTGCATATTTCCATTACCATTGTAGTTTCATACTCGTCTGAGTATACTTAAGTTGCAAGCCAATCTTGTGACGTCACTCACCTGAGCTTCTTTCAGTTGAGTCTAAAGTGACGCAATGTTGTGAGCGCGTTTGTACATAAGTCACGTTTTTCACGGTCATCTGAGTTCTTTTAGTTCTTTTTTGAGCCACTGATGTTGTGACGTCACTCACCTGAGCCTCCTTGAGCTGCGTCTTGAGCAGCGCGATCTCGCCGGCGCGCTGGCACAGGCTCCACTCGGTGTCCTCGAGGCGCTGGCGCAGCAGCGCGCGGTGCGGCGATGTTGTGACGTCACTCACCTGAGCCTCCTTGAGCTGCGTCTTGAGCAGCGCGATCTCGCCGGCGCGCTGGCACAGGCTCCACTCGGTGTCCTCGAGGCGCTGGCGCAGCAGCGCGCGGTCGCGGCGCACGCGCGCCAGCTCGGCGTCGCGCTCGTCGCGCGCGCGCCCGCACGCCGCCAGCATGAGCGCGCGCGGCGCCCGCAGCCGCACCTCGTGCGCGCGCAGCCGCTCCGTCGTACTGCAACCAACGTTTTAATCTTCAACTAGCTGCCGGCCAAACCTCACACCTTCTCACACTCTTTATACAGGTTTCTTAAAGGAAGAAGAATAACAAACGAGCACACAGTCGACTTGATTGTAAACGGATGCTGTGGCCCATAGACATTTTTTACATCTAACAAAATGCAATACATTAACCAAAATGCATATGCATTGTCGTCCTTAAGGACTATGATGGAATACCTCGTTAACAGTAAAACGGGTCTCCGGTTCTCTACACTCACCATATGAAACACAGCAGCATTAAACTGCAATTTCACGCTAGCATTCTGTGAGAGCGTGGTCCTTTACCAGTCGAGCCGACCCGTTCGTGCTACAACCACAATATAGTTGCAGCACGGCTCTTAATCTGAATACTTACTCTAGTTTTAAATACAAAAGAGCGTGTAAATACAAAGTTTATCAATAATTCTACTACAGCGCCACCGCCGGCACTCGTCTGGTAAACCGTTATTTCGAGGTGTTGGCGCAAGAGAATCAAAATTCAATCGAACATAACATTATCGAAATGTCATTCGCCACTAACGTATCAATTACATTGGTATTGGGTTATTGTTAATTTTGTCTTACCTGTATTCATGCTGATCCCGCTCGAGTTCAGAAACTCCAGAGTCAGCAGGCGACGGTGCCGGCACCGGTTCCTTGCTCTCTGCGCTCAAACTCGACTTTGTCCTGAAAAAGTTAGTTAAGAATTAATAATAGTACATGTGACATAGTTTTAAACAATAGCCTAGTCGTTAATGACTGCGAATTCAAAAAGTTGTGGGTTCGATTCCACCATTGGGCCACTGTCGTTAGCCAACCTTATTGTCGTATTAGTGGGACTCTCTAGTATACCACTAGTATACATACTTATATATATATATATAAATATAAATAGATGCCAAGGTTATTAGGTTCCTTATATATTTCACCCTCTTTCTTTTCCACATCTCTTTTGCTTTTTATTATCAGGCAAAATTGGAGCTCGCTTGTCACTGTAACATTATAAAATAAACCTAGCAAGCTAACAGCATAGCAAAGTGGCGAAGCAATCAGCTTTGTAGCGGTTTCTAACGGTTGCCGTTCAGCAATCAGTTTCAAAATAGGAGGTTCAGATGCCTGGGTGATCAGTAATCGATTGCTGAAAACAGAATTTGAAAATTCAAAACCGTTCTCGAGATAATCGTGGGACAGACGGACAGACGGACAGACATCGTGAAATCAATAAGTGACTTCGCAAGCTTCGCCACTTAATAATCGGCTAAGTGCGAGTCGGACTCGCGCATTAAGGGTTCCGTACCCCTGCCCCCTTTAATTTTTAATTTATTTTATTTTTATCATTGTTATTGTTTGTTATAGCCGCAACAGAAATACACATTCTGTGAAAATTTCAACTATCTACCTATTACGGATCATGAGATACAGCCCGCTGACATACAAACGGACGGACGGCCAACGGAGGCTTAGTAATTTTTTTATAGGATAGGGTGACAAACGAGAACACAGTCTACCTGATGGTAAGTGGTTGTTGTGATCCATAGACATCCACATCTATCCTCAATAAAGAATCAAAATGCAGATGGGTTGTCACCTGTGAGGACTGAGATGGAATGCCTGTTTTCCAGTGCAAAGGGTCTCTGCTTCTCTACACTCACCATACGAAACACAGCAGTGTTAAGCTGATATTTTACGCTGGTATTCTGTGAGAGCGTGGTCCTTCACCTGTCGAGCCGACCCATTCGTGCTACAACTATACTACTAATATAGCTGCAGCATGGCTCTACCACGTAAAAAATATTATATAATAAAATAATAGTAATATCCCGTTGGTTACCCTTTGGGTACGGAACCCTAAAAAGACAAAAACTCCTGTAATCTTTTCTTGTTCACTGCATCCACTTATTATCAGGTGAAAACATATCGCAATCTTTATCATTATAGCCCATTAAAAGTCAGCAATTGAACACACACCTCCCCGAAAGACTACCGTGTCCCTTAAAGAAGTCACCTGAAGTCCATTACATTACGAGGCCAGTACGAGGTTACCATTCGAGAACTTTTTTTTTTCAATTAAGTCTGTTTTTAGTCTGGAATTTAGCATCAAAGCCTATCTTTATGCATTCTGGTTGCTGCGTCAGGAAGTAAAATAACGTTATACATAAATGTAGGAGCCTCTGTGCGCCCAGTAGTGAATGTTTATTGGCTAATTATGAAAGTATTTAAAATCAACTGAATCACGGCCGCCATTAATTCGTGTTCTACATTGCTAACGGTGTTCAACTGAAAGCCTTTAAATATTTAGGGTTGTGAAAGATTAAATATAAATAAAATATTTTTTTATTTACTTTATCTAACTATCTTATGTCGTTGCTCATAGGTGGATGCTTGATATAGTTGCCACGTTTGCCACGCGGTCCACCCAACTAGATGGAGTGACGATCTGATAGGAGATATGCCGAAAGTCGATGGATGTAAGTAGCTCAGGCACGGTCCTGTGGTATTCCTTGGGGGGAAGCCTATGTTCAGCAACGGACTTGTGGTGGGCTGCAATGATGATGATGAACTAATCATTTATATATTTCTAAAGTCACGCTATAAACAACTTATTGAACACAGTTCAATTATGGTCTGCATGATCTTTTTCGAGCAAAGCCCATATAGCTTCGGTGGTCAAAATCAACAAAGCCCGCTATCTACAATTGGCAACTTGTCAATGTTACCCTGTTTATAATATTTTATCTAAGTCAGTAATTACGGCTTCCTTGTATTCGCTCCTATGGTTCAATTTTTAAATTTAATAAATGGAGGTAAAAAGAGAGAGTGCCTCACTGTTTATGTTAATGTACATCCATTGAAAAATATTGAAAATATCTTGATTCCAACAATCTCAACAATTTATCATACATCAATGTGACCTAAGCTGCTGTAAGCTCCTGAGTAGCAGGAGCTAGAAGATTTTGTTAAATAAAAAAAAACACATTTATACTGCAGTTTTAACGTTTAATTTTGTGACCGGTAGATATCGCACTCGAAACTATTTAAGGTGTGTAGTGCAAGTGAACTGAAGTAACTAAACTATTTATTTGTAATCATATTCATACAATATTAATAATAATTATGACGTATAAGAAAATCTATCATCTCAATTTGTGCAGCGAATATTGTAAAAGTCAAAATACATATTATGGATATAAAAATATTCACCGCCGTATAAATGTGGCTTAAGAATAACTATTATCCCATACCACTTAACAAAACAAAATAAATATGAATTACACCAACGGCCGTGTTAATGCAATTTGTCGATCTGGCAACCCTATTCTCCTTATCATGTAATACTATCTGCATTGGCCTCTTATCTCGAACTTAAACGTGAATTTGTTTTAAAATCTTAATGGCGCTAAAACGGTAAAGTACTTTATTAGTTTGTTTACGGCCAGTTTCTTTTATATTGTCCACTTTACACGCGGCCACTGAATAATTTCATTGAGTAAGGTATTTCGGTTCAAAATGAGCGTCGCGTACGACTGTCGGTCTGGCTTTGAGAATGAATAAGTTTGTTTGCATGCTTTATTTGATATATTATATAGTAAATTCAATTGTCTTTTGGTTTTACCACAGCTGATCTTTTAAATGTTGCTAGCATAGGTGGAAATTTATATAAAAAAAACAACACAAATAAACTAAAAACAAAATTAACTGTTGCAGAATACTATTTTTCTAGTGTAAAAATTTTCTCAAATTTCCACTTAATTTATTTTGGATAACATGAACACCGTAATACAAGCAACAAATATAATGTAGCTCAAAGATTTTCTTTAGCGTAACCTAAGAATCGAAAGAGAATCTAAAAGGTTATTTAGCATTGTGTATGAGTAATTAATGGAAAAAAAGCCGTCGCATATTAGATATACTTTGCATATTAAATGGAGAAGAATTGACTCATTTAATAAGTAACATATTGTTTACAGAATAATGGTGACAAACGAGCACAGTCCACCTGATGATAAGTGAATGTTGTACTTAGCCCGTTAAAATTTACAACTACCGTAAGACTGAGGACTAATATAGAATACGTGATGAGTAAAAAAAACTTCGTTTCTCTACATTCATGATACGAAACAGCAGCATTAAGCTGTTATTTTACACAGGTATTCTATGAGAGCGTGATCCTTCACCTGTTGTACCGATCCCTTCGTGCTGCAACCATAACATAACTGTAGAGTGGCTTTATCACGATTTAACTATAATAATATCTAATCCTATCTGGCTAATCTGCCTGATCAACACTGATCGGAAGGCAAGTATTGCTAACTACCCGCTAATTTTACAGTACGATCAAGTATTTTTAAGTATTATATACAAGTTTGCATATTCTTCGAAAGGCCTATGTCTAGACAAATATAAGCCTTATGTGATGTTTTGAGTATGTGGTGGTGGTGTAAAAGAATCAAACACTCATTTTGTCCTGTTGTTGCAATAAGAAGCGACGTCGGGATCTCATGATTTCTATATCAAATTGGTATAACCATCTTGTCTACGACAATCGTAACATATATAGCCCGAACGGAGTCAAACTATCAAGTGTCATAATTTAAAAAATCCTTCCTATAACGGTAGAAGCACATCTCCAGCAGTGGACTTTACAGCGTGTAAAAGAAAATTTTTACACGTGGTAGAGTCATGGTGCAGCTATATTATGTTTGTAGCACGAACCACGAATGGGTCGGCTCTACCAAGGAATCAATAAAATGAAAACATCATCAATGTAGTCGAAGTAAATTAAATACGCATTATTAAGGATAACTCAAAAACTGCTGGTCATATTTTGATCAAATTTATATGGGACCACATGAGAAGCGATTTAAATAAGATCATCAAAATCGATTCACTTAGAAAAAAGAAACAAACACATCAAAGAAACAGTCGAATAGACAACCTCCTTTTTTTAAAAGTCGGTTGATAATAGAAGCAATAGTGTTTCGTTTGGTGAGTGTAGAGAACCGGAGACCCTTTCCACTGGAAACGAGGCATTCGATCTTAGTCTTCAAGGGTGACAACGTATATGCATTTTGATTCTTAATCAAAGTTAAATGTAGACTACGGGTCATAGTACCATCAGATGGACTGTGTGCTCTTTTGTCACATTATTCTATAAAACAAAGAAACATAGAAAATGAGTGATTTTATTCGAAAGGTATTAAAATTGAATTCCCATTTCATTTCGCTTAACTCAATTTAACGCATAATGACATGACAATTCGGAAATAAATAGCCCAAAACGGAAGACCCGTTAGTCGTATTATTTGGTTTTTCACTGTGTAATTCCGCCGCAATAGCTTTCCACGTGGGTTCCTATGACCTATGATTATGTTTTTATGGTGCGTGGTATGAAGGAGTGCGTCTCGGTCGACGGCGCGTCTCGCTCCGCCAGTCGAGCGTGGTATATTTCTTGCTATAGTGCCTTCGTTTTCGCTACAGTATCTTCTTAATGCAGAATTTCATTGACTATATCGCAATGGTACACTAGGACTCGATGGCTTCCTAGGAAATATCGCAATGGTACACTAGGACTCGATGGCTTCCTGGGAAATTTTCGACCATGAGATGTTATAGTGCTACAAGAATACTTGCAAACAGAGCTGCTGCATATTTAAAATTCAAAAAGTAGGCCGCGCGCTGGGTTCTTC